AGTGGACGCACTTGATAAAGTAGAAGAACCGTTGACTGAGGAGCAGGAAGCACAAGCGGAGGAAGTATATAACCAAGGCCCACAACGCTGTTGAAAGCGCAGAGAAACTTGCCATGAGGTTGGAGGCAAAACGCGCAGGAGCCTTACTTTCGCCAGCATCGTATAGGTCCAACGATCCTTCAACGCATACAAGTGTAGGGCAGTTAGAGGCGAACACTCCCAAAGCTACCCTCTATTCCCATACCATTGTTCGACGGGAAAATATGGGAATTTCATAATTTTGGACCCTTTTTGAGGCCAATGTAGACAGCCAATGGTCGTTGAGTAACCTACAGAAGTTCAATTACTTGATAACCGCTTTACGAGGTGACGCACGCGAATTGATCAAAAGATACCCAGTAACGGGAGAGAACTATGCCCTTGCCATCGATCTTTTGAAAAAGAAATATGGCAACACTTCGCGCCTTATCACCGCTTTGCAAGCTCGCTTAGACCACGCGAAAGCAGAACAGTCATCGGTGCAAGCGCAAAGGGCACTCTTGGAGACAATCACACCGATTGTGATTCAACTCCAAAAACTAGGGGTTGTATTAGACGGATCATACAACGCCCAAAAGGTGCTCGCCAAGTTCGCAGTCCGCATACAGCGGAAAGTACTGGAACACATAGTGACACCAGAAATGGAGGAAAGTCGTTGGAATATGACGACTATAATTGAAACAATTGATGCTCATATTAGCACTGAGGAACAGATAAATGAAATGGTCAGCAAGCGGGATATAGCCACTGATAAGAGCGCAATGATGGGAACAAGAAACTCCTTAGTTACGCGGAAGGCATGTATGTTGTGCAACTCGTTCGAACACAAAGCTGTGGCTTGCACGCGCTATCGCACTATTCCAGAAAGACGCAACATTCTTCTGGAAAGAAATATGTGTCTCAATTGTGGGAGAGAGGGACACTGGATAAAGGATTGCCCAAGTGAAGGGTGCAGATCTTGCCAAGGGAGGAAACATAATCAAGTTTTGTGCCCCCAAAGAGTAGGAGTAGGGACAAAGCATCAAGGCACCATATCAGCTGTAAAAAAAGGGACATCCACGTTGAAGTCGTTGACGCCGCAGCACGCGACAAAGACCCCAAAAGTACACGCATCCGCCAAGGTCACACAAACACATTCAGTAGTGACGCATACGGAAGAGGACAGGGCGAGATGTTGTTCCCCGCAGGAAATGCCGGTGGCTGAAAATGCAGTAGCTGCGCACAATAACCACTCTGCAACACCCAATGCAGATAACAATGTGCTACTTTTGACAGGAATAGGGAAAATATGGAATGTTAAAGAGGGCAAATGGCAGACCGTCGAAATTCTCTTTGACACCGGGGCTGACCAATCGTTTATAAACCAAACCCTAGCAGAAAATCTAGGTCTCCCTTCTGAGGGAATAAAAAATCTAAAGATATATACGTTTGGATCCACATCACCTAGCACGACCACATGTGGGGTGACCCAGGCAGACATAGGCGACAACCAAGGCGTAAGGCATAAAGTGCGCTTACACGTGATTCCAGTACTGACTGGCAAAGGTACGAAAATGCACCTCACTCCAAAGGACTTGGATTTTATAGCCGACATTAATATTGAGCTTTCAAGAAGTCTAACGCACGTCGAGTCGGCCCCGCAAATTCTCCTGGGATGTGACCAAATGTGGGGACTACTGGAAACTTCGTCACCGCGCTATACGCTACCCTCGGGGTTGCAAATCATACCATCCAAACTGGGATATCTCCTGACAGGGAAGCAGCAAGTAACAGAGCAATCTGTTGCAACGGATCAAATACCCCACAATCCTTCCAGTATGGTAGTAATGGTTGAGACCTTCAGTAATGATGACGACGATCTAGCGCGATGGGATAAATACTGGACAATGGATAGTAGTGGAATCTGTGAATTCACGGGAACGAAAAACGCAGAAAAGGCAACAGTAAATGAAGCAAGTATTGACCTTCTTCAATGACACAATAGAAAAAAGGTCCGATGGGTACTACGTTCGCTTGCCTTATAAGCAAGATCACCCACCACTTCCTTCCAATAAAGCCATCGCTATGAAACGCCTCTCTAACGTCATGAATATGTTGAAGTCTAACCCCAAACTCCTAGAGGAGTATAACAATATTTTTGAAACACAGCTAAAAGAGGGTATCATTGAAGAAGTACCATTCCCCAATCCAGGGACGGCGATGTGGTTCATTATATACCACATCAACCAGTGGTTACGCCGCAAAGGAAACCACTAAGTTGCGCATAGTATTTGACGCCTCTTCACATTTCAAAGACTGCCCCGCTCTCAATGATATCCTTCATCAGGGCCCTCTTATACTCCCAGAAATTTACGCTATGTTACTACGATTTCGAGTCCCTGAATTTGTAGTCACAGCCGACGTAGAAAAAGCGTTTCTTCAAGTCCATCTGCATGAATTGGACCGCGATGCAACGCGATTTCTTCTGGGTGCGCGACTACAAAAGAGAGCCCGTAGAGGACAACATTGTGACTTATCGGTTTACCAGAGTCACATTCGGACTTCAACGTCTCACCATTCCTCCTAGGGGCGACAATTAATTACCACCTTCGCAACACGGTGCAAGACAAAACCATAGCGGACGAGATCGCCGAAAATCTCTATGTAGACAATCTTGTCCTAGCAGCAGACACCCCCCAGGAAGCAATTCGCAAATCATTACTTTCTAGAAAGATCTTTGCAGAAATGAACATGAATTTACGCGAGTTCCGGTGTAACGATAAAAACGTTAATGACGGATTGCCTAAAAATGCTCGCGCATCGGTGCAAAGCCAAAAGGTACTAGGCATCCCTTGGGATAGCAAGCGCGACAAACTAACGATCCGCTGCGATTTTCCTTCAACCGTTTCCCTTACGAAACGCATTGTTGCAAGGCAGATTGCCTCCGTTTTCGACCCCTTTGGATGGTTAGTGCCGCTTATGGTTCAGGCAAAGAAGGTTTCAACAAGAATTATGGAGATGCAAATACGAATGGGACACCGTACTGCCAGCAGACGTTCAAGATCAGTGGAACGCAATTTGTGCGAACATGCATGGGTTTAAATACATCTTGGATAGTACGTCTAGCTCTTTCCATATTTAATGCGCTAAAAGGATCCCTTCCTCAAGGTCTTAAGAATATCTATATATTCTCCGATTCCCAAATTGTGTTGAACTGGCTAGAAACAGACCCACACGATTCAGGTCTGGGCCTCCTAGTTAGCAATCGGTTGAGAGAACTCAGACGCACAGACGCACTGTAGAAGCGCTGCATAGCGAGGGAGTTCAAGTGAACTTCAGATTCGTGCCAACAAATGAAAATCCAGCCGACGCTGGAACAAGAGGCCTCACAAAAGCGCAACTGGCCGACTCGCTTTGGTGGCATGGAACCGATCTTCC